AAAAATCCCCATTTTTTTTTTTCCCCCCCCCCCCCCCCCAGGGAAAATCCTCACGGATGACTTTGCCGACAAAGAGGGGTTAGAGATGGGTGACGAGTATTTTGCAAACCTGGATCACATTGAGAGCGTGGAGAACTTCAAGGAGGGCTATGAGAGCGACGCAAAATGCTCTTCTGACAGCAGCGGGGTGGACCTCAAGGACGAAGAAGAGGACAATACAGGCACTGAGGAGCAGGAGGAGTCCAACGAGGACAGCTCTGACGACAACTTCTGCAAGGACGAGGACTTCAGCACCAGCTCAGTATGGCGCAGCTATGCCACGCGACGGCAGACCCGGGGCCAGAAGGAGAATGGGCTGTCGGAGACAGCCTCCAAGGACTCAGGGCTCACACGGCAAATCAGCCACGATGAGACGGTGGTGGCTGTCTCCTGTAAGCTGCCGGTGTCGGAGGAGACCTCCAAGAACAAAGTGGCCTCATGGCTGAGCTCCAACAGCATGTCTGACAGCTTTCAGGACAATGACAGTGCCTCCTCCTTCAAGATGAGCGAAAGCAGCGAAGCCAAGGCCAGCAAGACGGAGCTCCCGTGTGAGAGAGAGAAAGCCTGTGCTGCTGCCCTGGGTGACCTGGATGGAGAGTCAAAGGCATTAAAGAAAGATGTAAGGGAGGGCTGTGGGACTGGCAGATGAGTATTGCCCCCTGCCCTGGGGGCATGGATGAGGAAACGGAGACACAGAGATGTTCCTCAGCCATGCTCTTGCTCGAATGGCTTTTCTACCCATACAACATGAATAGGTGGACCGTGGTGCTGTTTGGTGTCCCCTTGCCCTGCTTACTTGGCCTTTGCCCACTGTGGCGGGGTAAGGAGGTGCCTTTCCCCTTCTCGAGGGAAGTTGTGGCACGAGGCTACAAAGAAGTTGCTGAGCAGGAGCTGAGCTAAAATCCCTCCTGCCCTGGGCACTATGTGCCTGTGCAGCCCTGAGAGAGGGAGCCACCACCTGCCGGGGTACCTGCGGTGGTGTGGAGAGGGCTCAGGCAGGGCTGGGGACAGCAGGGAGATGGAGGTGGTCTCTGTCCACCCCCTGCTCTGGAGAGGGGACTCGGAGACCCACTGTGTGGGATGTGGAGGGTGGGAGACCTGTGGTCATAACTTGGCCCTTCTGGAGCACCCCCTGGACTGGGTGTCACACTGAGCGGTGGGGACACCTGGCTTCTCACTCCCGGGCTGGTGCTTGGGGAGCGTTTCCACAGAAGCGCTGAAAGTGCCCCAAAAGGGAGAGATTTTAATCTCCTATACTTTTCCCCTCTGCAGGAACCTGAAGATCCAACCAAAATTCCTGGGTAAGGTTCCTTAAATTGTATTTTCCTGCTTTTTATTTCCAAATATCATTCTGAATGAGTTGCTGCAACTCTAGGGCTGCCCCTCAACTCTATTAATGCCACTGCCAGAGTAAACTGAGAGGTTGCGAGGGTTTGGGCTGTGCCCCAATGGCAAATTAAACGCTTAGAGTTGATGGCAGTCTTGTCCAGCTCTCAGCTTTCCTCTGTCTCTGCCTGGCCTGCAGACAATCTCCCTGGAGATGCAAGCATGACCCACTCTCATCTTTACCCCACAGGCTAAGCGACTTGGGAAGGATGTATGGCTACAACCCGAGCCCTCCCAAACTGGAAGGGATCCGCAGGCCGACAAGCAAGACCGCCCTGCTGCAGAGCAGACGGCATTCTCTCGCCCCACAGCCCCCCACAGATGTAAGCGGTGATCCTTCAGGCTTCAGACGTGGGCTGGGAGGGGTGGGCCTGGCTCTGCCTCAACTCCAAACTGGTTTGATGAAGACCTTGAACCTTACTTTGGGTTGTTTCTATGCCACTTTCATTCCCAGTTGAGCACCAGCACAGGGCTTGTGGTTCGTAGTTGTGATTTCCTGGGGGAGCAGTTGATTTCCTTCAGACAGTGGGGGTCTTTCATGGTTCTGAAAGCCCCCCCCAAAAAAGAGGACAGCATGGGGTTTGGGCCATGTTTTATAATGGGATGTAGCACCTTGGTTCACATACCAGCACACTAGGCACCCCTTGCTCAGCAGAGCTGGGTCTAGGAAGCTATCCTGGGGGACCGTCTTTGGTTTTTGGGATCTTCTCCCTTCCTTGTGAAACCCAGAGCACCTAATGGTGCAGGCTCATGAGTCTCTGGCAGTCTGGGTGCTGCAGGACTAACCAGCCCCCTGAAACCCCACTGCTATTTCAGACATTGGCCTGCGAGATGGGGTTTCTGTCCAGTTCCAGGTCTGATCGCAGTGTCCACATGTGTGATCCACTTCAAAAGGGCTTCCTGGGGGACAGAGGTCCTCTGCTAGAAGAGAGCAAAATACTACTGGGGAAAAAGGGACCCCTGAATGTCGCTTGGAGAGCGATGAAGCAATGCTCTCCCCTGACTCAAGCTGCACTCAGCAGCTGTTAATGCCTTTCTGCAGGATGTGCTGACCCTGTCAAGCAGCACAGACAGTGAGGGGGAGAACGGGCAGCCGGTGGTGGGGCAGGCCCAGGGCACCACCAACGACAGTGATGACATCCAGACCATTTCCTCGGGCTCAGAGGAGGAGGAAGGGGACGACAAGAAAAACCCCTCATCTGGGTCAGGTGAGGACAGCTGGGGGAGGAACAAGGGCTGAAGGTGGAAAGTACAGAAGTACAGCAAGAAATTTTGGCCAGAAACCACCAAGAAGGGCTGATGAGGACATAGCAGCTGTGAACATGGTGCATCCTGCTCCAAGCACCTCTGAGCTTTGCCTAAGGACCAAGGTCTGAAGCTTCCCCAAGTGCTGTTTGAGACATAACTGCAAAACCCAGTCCTCAAGTACTAGAGATTTGTGGGTATCAAAAAAAAACCAGCTGTGAGGCTTATTATGGTGGGTCTCCAGGCTTCGCTGGGTGGAGCGGAGAGCTGGAACATTCCCAGGAGCCATCCCAGGGTGGTATTTTAGATCTGAGCTGTGTCCCTAAGGGGTTTATTACCCCTGTGTGAAAGAAGAGAGCATCGTGGGGCAGCAGCACTACTGTGGGGTCTCTCCTGGAAGATGCAGAGAGAACACGGCAGTGTTTGCTCCTCTCTTGTGGCAGGTCCTGTGAAGAGGCAGGTGGCAGTGAAATCCACCCGAGGCTTTGCCCTGAAATCCACTCACGGGATTGCCATCAAATCAACCAACATGGCAGCAGCCGACAAGGGCGAGAGCGCACCCGTCCGTAGAACCACCCGCCAATTCTACGACGGAGAGGAGTCCTGTTATATCATTGATGCCAAGCTGGAAGGGAACCTGGGCCGATACCTCAACGTGAGTCACTGCCCTTGGCAGGGGATGAAAGGGGAATGGCCCTCGGCAGCTGAGAAGAAAAGGACATATTTGGGGTGACCTGTCCGTTCAGTGGGCCTGTTCTTCCCCAAGACTAGATAAATACAGTAAAAAAAGGGGGAAAAGAGCAGGACAGGGAGGATGATCCACTCCCCCCGATTGAAATAGGGCAGCTGCTCTGGCCCCGTGACATGTGGTAAGCAGGATGATGGCTAAGTCAGTCCTTCCAGTGACCGTTACCTTTGTGAGCATGGATCTTATGACTCATCCCTGGTTGTGCAGGCAGGGGAGGGAGTGTGTCCTGTTTCAGCAGGCTTATGCTGGATGCAGCGGACAAATCGGGAATGGTCCTTGTTCATAAAGGCTTGTGTTTATTGCTGGCTGGTTTGCATCCCTCCCCACGCAGGAACTTGCTTACTGTGTCTGTCTCTGCTCCCCTTACAGCACAGCTGCATTCCTAACCTCTTTGTGCAGAACGTTTTTGTGGACACGCACGATCTCCGCTTCCCCTGGGTCGCCTTCTTCGCCAGCAAGTGAGTCCTGGTGCACTTGGGGAAGGGCTGCCCATTCACGGAGCTTGGTTGGACCCAGCTCCTTGGTCCGGGGCTGCGCAACTGGTGCGGGCTGGGCGTTTCCTATTCTTGGTAACCTCAGTCCCTGGTTTCACACCAGCCTGAGCGGGGAGAAGCTTGGAGATGAGTTGGGTGAGGACCTCTCTTCTGTGCTGGAGATTCTGGTGCAATTTGCACCAGTTTTAGACCTTTCCACCGGGGAGAGCTAAGCACGGAGCAGCCGGCTGCCCAGCTTGTTCGAGTCGCAAACCTTGCAGGCACTGTGGGGCGGTGGTGAATCCCTGCCACATGCCTCTTGGGCACTGCGAGTGTGGCGTCTCCTCTGTGAAGCCCCGCGGGAGTGATTCATCAGGGAACTTTGTCCCTTTGCTCGCTGTGGAGCCACAGGCAGCTGCGCTGGCTGCTCCACCCTTGCCCCAGGGGAAGCTGGACTGCGCTGCCCTGTCCAGAGAGGTCATAAGTAAGCGTTGCTCTCTGCAGGCAGGAGGGCCAGCTTATCTTCCTTTTCACAATGGCCTCTTCTCCCAGCCTGTGCTTTCTTTTTTACTTCCCAGGAGGATACGAGCTGGCACAGAGCTGACATGGGATTACAACTACGAAGTGGGCAGCGTGGAAGGCAAACAGCTGCTGTGCTGCTGCGGGGCTGTCGAGTGCCGAGGGCGGCTGCTGTGAGCCCACCCACCTGATGCTCTACCGGATCCCTCTTGACCACAGGCTTGGTGCTGATTTTCCCTTTGTGAGGGTAAAGTTTCTTCCCAAGAGGTGGTTGTTTAATAGTAACCGTTACGAAGCTGAGCACAGTGGCTTTGAGTTCTCCTGGTCACTTGAAAATTACAGTGGCAGATGGACACAGAACAGAAATGTAACCTGGCACATGTGTGATGGCTGCGGTGGGGGGTGATGCCCAAACCTGATGCTGTGAGCTTTGCTTCTCTCCCTCAGCACCGCTGGAAAGGCCATTAGCCAATCCGTTACCTACCTGAGCCCTTGACAAGCAGCTGTTCCTGCTCTCTTCCAGCTCTCCACCAAATTTAAGACACAAAGCCCTGGGCATTGCTGCCGGTTTTCCAGCAGGAAGCACTTCACCAAGACTCCAGGGAAGTGCTTCACAGTTGGGACTGAGCTGTTGATGTCCATGCAGCCTTGGGATAGGACTGGGAGGGAGCGAGGGTGGTGGAGGTAAATCCAGATTGGTCTACTCATACTGGGCTTATAGCAGTGACATAAATTTAAGTGGGGGGAAAAAAAAAAACAGTCTTCAACTGTGATATGTTGTAAAGAATCTTTTCATTGTTAAAAAGCAATAAAGTATGTTTTTCTATTAAAAAAAATGCTCTGAACTTCAGACACAGCAAAAACCCCTGAAAGAGCAGGATTTAACCACTTCCTTCATCCTTGTTTCCACAGGGCTTGCAGGAAAACTGCCAGAGGCAGATGGGCCCAGGCAGGTTAAGATGTGCAGTGGCATAGGGAGGGTAACAGGGTCCCACAGGCATTTTCACCTTTCCTTCCTTCTAGCAAAACAAATACTCACAAAATCCTCCACTTGTTAAAACTAAAGAGAAACTGGTTGAACTTCCCTTGCTAAGTAGGCAGATTTGATGGCAGTTGCCTTCTCCCACCCTCCTAGGACCTAACCATAGGCTCAAAATACAGAGTTTGCCTTAAAATATGGCACTGAATTGCATTTGAGACAGCCTTGAATTTGACTCCATCAAACCAAACTTGATTTGGGCACCTGCAGATGGGGGCAGGGAAGGGCAGAGCTGCTGCAGGCAGCCAGGGAGGGTGGAGCTGCTGCCTGGTCTGGCTGCTGGACACAGCACAAACCGACCAGCGACGCTACAAGTAAAACTTGCTCTTTCCCCCCCCCTCCCTGGCAGTAATGCACGATTTCAAGCGTTGGGGTTTGGCTTTTTTTTTGGCAGCAGGGGGGGCAGGGCTCATAAACTTCACTAAACCCCTGGAACAGGGGCTAAAAGAGGCAGATTTTTTTTTTACAAATTGGAATCAAATCTCCCCTCACCCGCCAGCTGAAATGCAAAACCCCGGTCTGGGGGAGAGCTGGAGCAGCAAAAAGCAGGATCCAGCCACCACACACCCCCATCCCTCAGGCACCCGAACCAACCATGCAACAGCACTCACGCAAGGGAGGTTTTTTTTTATCATGCTAAAAAAACTTTTTTTTTTTTTCCCTTAAAAACTTCTCTAGGGCCTCTGCGCGCTCCAGTTCCATCCTCAGCATCCACCTGAATAGCAGCTTTGTCATCCTAGCAGGGCGAGGAGGGCAGCTGCTCCTCTGGCAGCGGGGCCAGGGCTCCTCAGGTGGCTGAAGCCCACACTCCAGGCTGGTTTTTGAAGACATGGCGAGCTTTCGGGGGGGAATTATCAAAATTCTCCAATTTGGCCACTTTTTTAGCACTGCCTAAATGAAAACGAAAGGGGGCAGTGACCCCCAAACCCCCGCTGGGGCTAGGGCCACTGTGCCAGCCACAGAAGATGCCCAAGCCCTTTATTTTTTATACCGAAGTTTATTAGTTTTTTTAAACTTTTAATATATTTAACCTTTTATTTTTTTTAAAAAACAAAAACAACAAAACACATTTTGGTCTGACATTGGTTAATGGTCCTTTTCCCCCATCCCTCCGCCCTGGGAGGACTCGCTGCATCCCAGGTGGATGCAGGAGGCAGAGCCAAGTCTGGCTCCTTCTGTCTTCCAAATAAATAGAAACAAAAAAAAAAAATCAGATGCAAATTTGTCCTGTTACAGTTGGGGAAGGGACCAGGAGAGGCCACAGAGAGGGAGAGACTTGAAACCCATTTACAGAAGAGAAATAAGGGGATTAAACTTCTCCGTGAGACACTAGTAGTGACTAAACCCCGCAGCTTCCTTCCCCCGCGTGCTTCCATAGTGTCATCTCAATATTCAGCCACTAAAACACCCAGGACTTCATCCACTCCTCCCTCCCAGCCCTCCGAGGGCAGCGGAGCAGGGACTGCACCAGCTTTTCGGCTTTTCCACTGCCCTCCCTCACTCGGTGCCGGCAGTGAAGCCGGACGGGGTCGGGGAAAAGGCTTTTTCCCGGTGTTTGAAGAGGTCACTGCAGGACACGCTCCCCTCTGGCGAGGGGATGGTCAGGAAAAGGGGGGAATAACGCAGGGCTGGAGCCCAGTGAGGGACTGGAGCCAAGCTCTCCAGCCACAGCGGATCCGAGGGGGCTGTGAGGAGGGGAATGAGCCATCCCAGAGGGATGCTGGTGGGAGCCATCCTCGCTCTGCCTGTCCCAGGGCACCACAGTGGATTAAGGCAGCAGGTGAAAGGCAGAAAGGGCACCAACGGTGAGCGTGAGGCGGAGAAGCAGCAACCGTTGCCACCCCCAGAGCCCTGGCTCCTCTCCGGAGGAGGTGACAGAGGGGGCTGGGGGCTGAGACGGGCTCTCTGGGGTCCCAGTTTGCTCCACTGGACTAGGGAGGGGAGAGGATGGAGGGAACGGGGACCTTGGCGCTACGTGAGGGTGGCATTGGTGGGATTTGTCATCTCACGGGTTTGGCCTCCAGCGGGGCCCCCGGCCGCCCCTGCCAGCACAGAGACAGGGCGAGGGCACTCAGTCGGTTTTGCGGTGGTTGTTGTTGAGGACAGGGTGGCCGTTGGAGAGGGGCCCGTTCTTCGCCGCCTCCTCCTCCTCCTCCGAGTTGTCCGTCTCTTCACGGTCGCTCCTCTCGTCCTCCACCACCTATGGCGGGAGAGGGAAAGCCAGGGGGCTTGGTCAGTGGCACCCCATTTTCCTGCCACGCCTCAGTTTCCCCCATTGCAACCACTAAGGTCTCCTCCCTGCCAAGGACTCTCCAGGACTTGGGGAGCCAAGTGCACTCCGGCTTCATGGTTTGGGGGTCTCCCCTGCAAACCCTCCACCTTACTCCCGGGGCAGACCCACACCCTCCATCCACCCCGAGCCGCATCGGCCAGGTCCGGATACAGCCCCTTCACCCTGCACCAGCGTCACCCCGTGGGATTGGGAGCCCCGAGCCATCCCCAGGCCCCCTCTTGCCTTTCCAGTTATGAACTTCTGGGCCATGCGGATGATGAGGTAGGCCCAGAAGATGTGCAGCGACTGCAGCACCACCATCATGAAGTTGAAAAAGTAGTAGCCAAAGAAGGCAGGGTAGAGATCCAGCGGATAAACCACCGTGCAGTGCATGATCCTGCCAGGAGAAGCAGCTCTGTTATGGGCAGGGACCGGCACCCCCACCCCCAGTGGGTCTCCCCAACCCGTGCCACAGTTTCCCCACCCATTCACCGGCGACTGGCACTCACCAAAAGGGCAGGATGACAAGGCGGGTGACAATGAAGACAGCGGCGAAGACAATGAAGATGTTGTTGCAGGTGTTTCTCCAGCCGGCATAGTTAAACATCTTGGCGGACTGTGGGGGCAGAGAAGGGGCGAGTCAGGGAGGGGATGCGAGACATGGCCGTGGCAGTGCGGAGAGGGACGTACCTCCAGCAGATAGTCTGACGAGTCATGCAGGGCCATGATGAGCGTCCCTGCACGGATGTAGTTGGCGAACCAGGAGAAGCTGATGAGGATGATGGTGGCAACATGGTGGATGATTTGCTCTTTGAAGTCCTGTGCCCAGGAAAGGGGGAGCCGGGGGTTACAGCAGCCCAGCTCCGACCCCCAGCCCCCCGCTATCCCTCTCGCCTCCAAGATCCCCTCCGTGGCCCCACATCCTCCTAGCCCACCAGTCCCTAATGCCCACCATGAGGGTGAAGAAAACTGTCCCCGTGTCTGCCATCCCTGTCCCCAGAGAGTCCCACCATCACAGCCCACCTTGCGCTTGACGTCAGAGGCGATGCTGAAGAGCAGGGACCAGTAAAAGGAGAGCTCAATCATGTAGTACCAGTACTGGGAGGGCAGCATGCTCTGAAACCCAAGAGACAGGTTGGGAGGGATGCTCTATGTGCCCTAGGCGGGTTTGATCCCCTTCCGTGGGCACCAGCCAGACCCATGGGTGTCCTGGGGACCCTTCTGCACCTCATGGCATGCAAACCCCTTCTCCGTGCATCAGCCAAACCCACATGGGTGCCAGAGACACTGTGCCACCCTGCAGAGACCCTCCCACACCCCCGGGGCCTCCAGTTCCCATCTCTGATCAACCAGGCAGCTCCTGGGGGTAGGAAGGGCCATGAGATGGTGGCTGGGACAGGATCGGGCGCTCACCTGGATGGGGTATCCCTTCCACACCTCCCGGAGGTCGTAGAACCAGGGTTTCTGTGGTATGCAGGGAGGAGAGAGAGACAGAGAGGTGTTAGAGAGGGCCGGGGGAGTCAACAGGGCCGGGCACACGCTGGGGGCGGGGTGGGCCAATACTTACATCCACTATGACAGCCATGCCAGCAATGAAAGCAATAAGGTAAAACGTGAATCGCCAACTGGAAAAAGGAAGCAGACGGTCCTCAGATGGGCACTGGGGCGAGGGAGGGAGAAGGACGGACCCACCAGCTCCATATTCCCCCCTCCCAGGGCAGCTCCCGGCCGAGCGGGTGCCCCCACAGCCCCATCCACTCAGGGACATGGCCCGCAGGGTGACGGTGACACCAGGTGCAGGGGTCTCACCTGGCCTCCCTGAACTTCTTGAGCAGGCTGGGCCGGTCTTGGTTGCGGCGGCGACGAAACCAGCGCTCCACCTGCCGCACCGTGCAACCGCTCTTCTTGGAAAGCATCTCCACGTCAGCCTGGGGGACGACAGGGATGTCACCACAGTGCCACAGGGCCCTGGCTCTGCCGCTTGCCCCCCCAACCCAGCCACGATGAGCCCCTTTTGGGTACGCCCCTCCCCTCACCTGCTTGGGGTGTTTGGTGGTGGCAGCATAAAATTTCTCCAGCACGGCATTGGGGGTGGCTTTTAACCTGATCTTCTCCTTGACATTCAGTAGCCCAGCCAGTGGGGTGGCCACGTACCTGGGGAAGGAGTGGAAGGACAGAAAATGTCCCCATTTCTGCGTCACCTGGCTGATATGGCCCCAGCAAAGCCACCCAGGGACCCACAGCCACTCGGTGCCTCAGTTTCCCCATCCCACTGTTGCTTCTCCAAGGTGGGTTTTACCATGGGGGACTTCCCCCAGGTCTCTCTGTCACCCCAGGGTTGGGGGACCAGCCCCCCACAAAGCAGCAGGGCTGTATCCACCCCAGCGAAGGGTGCCTCCCCCTTCTCCCACTGTCCCAACAAAGCCCCGTCTGTTCCCGGCCTTGGCTCGCCATTGTTTGCCCAACAAATCGCTCCTTAAATGCCGGGGCCAGTGGCCGACTGTGCCGTGATAAGGGCAGCGGAGGATGCACAAAGCCGGGTTTGTGAGGGGCTGCTGGGGGCAGGTCCCCAGCCCTAAATGTGGTCTGGGGTGGGAGGTGGACCCCTGGGGTGCCACAGCCACCCCCACCCCCCCCCAGCCAGGCTGAGGACAGGGTAACACATCCAGGGGTTCATCATAGTGTGTCCCCAGCCCCACGCGCAGCCCCTGAGGCACAGGGAGAGCTGGATCAGGGTTCCCCCCCGTGCCAGGGAAGGAACTCACGTCTCAAAGAGGTGCCGGATGACGAGGAAGAGGAAGGCCAAGGGGAGGGTGATGTAGAGATCGGAGGCTTTGGCATAGACTCGTCCATCCCGGTCCTCCAGGTCGGCCCAGGTGAGGTTTGCTGGGAGCCAGAGCCGTTCCCACCAAAAATAGCTGTACAAGGTCTGAAACATGCTGGGGGCGGGGGAGGAAAACAGAGGGCGGTGGTGAGGAAGGGGCTGTGGCCAGTGAGGATCGGGGAGGGGTCCCTGCTTGCAGCTGGTCATGTCTCCCTCTGGCCAGTGCCACCAGCACAGTCTGCAACGCCCTGGCTGGACCCGGCGCCCCAAGCCCCACCTCGGCTCCTGGCGGAGCCCCCAGCCCAGCCACCCGCCGGGGAGGGTCCGCAGATTGGTGAAATCCCCCTCGTGCCGCACAGAGCGGCCGGGCGCTCAGCTCGAGCAGAGAGGGACTTTGCTCCCTGCAGCGGAGAGGTCAGCAGGTGATGATTAACCGAGGCTGGCTCTTGCTTCCAACCGGCAGGATGGATCCTTGGCACTGGTGGGAGGGAGGAACTGGGTTCCCGGTCTCCGGGACTTCCCCACCCTGGTTCCCTGACAGCATCGCACGGCATGGCATCAGCCGGGGACGGGCACAACCCCGGGATCACGGTGGGATAAAGAGGAGGGGGGGAAGCCCCGACACGGTTTCTCTCCCAAGCGCTGTCTCCGCATCCCAGGGCTGATCCCGGGCACACAGCCCAACACCAGCGGGGGGAAACCGAGGCACGGAGCCCACTGCCACCTCTTGGCTGGTCAACCAGACCAAGGCAGCTGTGCGGTGCAGGATTAGGGATTTGCCGGTGGCACAATGAGCACCTTTGTGCCTTAAAAAGGTTCCCGACGGGCACCACAGCGGGCACAGGGAGGGAGAAGCAGCCCAGCGCTGCCACCGTCACCATTGCTGCGCGGGGAAGCCGCCCCTGCCGTGGGGTCAGCGCATCCCAGCTCTTCCTTCCCTTTCACGTTGGCACCTCCTGGCATCGGGCACAAGCCGGTTTCCCCCTCCCCACCGTGGGGAGCTGAGCCCAGGCTCCAAGGGGCTGGGATGGGGGGCGGGGGCGACGGGGGGTCCCCGCCCCCTGGGAGGCAAGTCCCCAATGCAGAGCAGAGATTTAGGTGAAGGACAAGCCGGCTTCGCTCCGGCGGAGGGTGGAAAGAGGAACCACCGGGGCTGGTTTCGCAAGCCAAGGCGGGAGCGTGCCCCAATTCCCGCTTAACCGGGATGGGATGGCCGTGCCGCAAACGGAAGGCGGGCAGGTAACGGGCAGAGCAGGCAGGGCAGCCTGGCGGCGCGTGGGAGGACTCGGGGTGAGGCCCCGGTCAGGGTTAGCGGCATCTTCTCCCCAGGGGAAACCAGGACACCGGGCCCCTGCTGATGTGCCAGGGAGGGAGAGGAGCTGGAACCGGGTGCTGCCGAGCTGGGGTGGGGGCCCGGTAACATCAGCCGGGACCGCCCCGAGGGGATTTTAGGAGAGATCCTGCTAGAAAATGAGAAAATCCTGACATTTTTAGGTTATGGAAGGAAAAACCGGGGCCAGGAGCATCACTGGGCACCGAATCCCAGCCAGGACCCTGCACCGGGGGTTCCTGGGGTGTCGTGTCCTCGCCGGTTGGGAGAGTCCCGAGTTACCACCGCCTGGAGAGACCCGGAGGAGGCAGGGGCCCGCCCGGCGGGGGGCTGCACCCCAGCCCCGGTGGGGACGGAGCCCGGGCCTCGCAGCGGGCCGGGCGGGGGGGTCACCGCCTCCCTCCAGC